AGGAACTGAAAGGAAGATGGAGGAGGCGGGGCTTATATACCCCACAGGGGGGAGCTAATTGACTCTTTTTTCTTAAGCTCTAGAATCTTCTGGACGTTCCTGCGCAGGCGCAGGATAACCCATTTGTGTGCATTCACAGAGACCACTACAAAGAATCATAGAGTTGAAGGGAGCCTATAAAGCCATTTTGAGTCCACTCTCCTGCTCAGTGCAGGAATCCAGAATCTGACAGATAGTTGTCTAATTTTTTCCTTGAATGCCTCTAGTGTTGGAGGGCTCACTACTTCCAGAGGTAAGTAGTTCCATTATCATACTGTTCTAATCATTAAGGATTTTTTTCTTCCTGATATTCAGTTGAAATTTTATCCACTAACTTGAACCCATTTTTAAGTGTCACACTCTGGAATGAGTAACATTTCATGTCCCTCATCTATATGACACCTTTTCAAGTATATGAAGAGTACTATCATATCTCCCATCAGTTTTCTTTTCTCAAGGCTAAACATGACCAGTTCTTTCACTCTTCCCTCATTGGGCTTGGTTTCCAGTGCATTTCCTGCTCACCTAACCCCCAAAATGTTGGAAAACTGCAATCGTTAAGGACCATGCCCTTAGCTGACATTTTGATTAGCCAAAATACATAAGGTATGTTATCCTAAAAGATTCATAAATTGCTGAAGCATTAGATGTTTCTGTGGATAGCCCTAAAAAGTTTTGGGGGAATATGTGAGTGCTGCTTCTTGCTGATAAGAAATTCAGTAGTAGCAGAAATCTCCAAGTTCCTTTGCTTAGTTGGCAGTCTACAAACTTAAACCAACAGATTGCATGAAATTATCACTGGGAAAAGGGAAATCATTTTTCCACCCTATTTTCCTCGCAAATTCATGCAATTGTCTTAACAATAATCTATTAGTCTGCAATGTGTTTGATAACATCATGCTTTTGCGATGCAGTTGCCCCACCCCATTCTATGTTTTAATTTGCTGTTGTAGTAAATCTTAGGACTTGGGACATAAATAATCAAGAAATATGAAATTGTGTGGTGTTGAAAGCTTTGCCTTTGATCTGATGGAACAATGGCTTGCAGTGAACTTCTAACGCATGAGACTGCAGCAAACATTCCTGTCTTGAAGAGGGTATGTATATTTAGTTCTGAACTGGAAATGTTCAGAACTAAATATACATAGGCAATCCCAAGACACAATGTATTGGTCAGTCCCTTGGCCCAGACAGGTCATTTAGCTAGGTCTGTTGAGAATTGTGTTGTGAATTCTAATAACTGCAGTATCCCATGTATTTACAGAACAGTATAAAGTGGGGTTAAAGAATATTTAGCTCTTCATATGTTGAAATAATTCTGCTCCCATGACCTCTCTTCATTGGCTAGGGCTGGCTTGGGGAATGGAAATGGAAATCGTTTGGTTGTTGTGGGTTTTTCGGGCTTCTTGGCCGTGTTCTGAAGGTGGTTCTTCCTAACGTTTCGCCAGTCTCTGTGGCCGGCATCTTCAGAGGACAGCAAACTGTGCTCAGTTTGATCCCGGCCGTGAAAGCCTTTGCGAATACATTGAAATGGAAATCCATCATCATATGGAAGACCCCACAGTCTATTAGAGTTTCCACAGTTCCACTCACCACAGGGGTGTGGACAGTTGCCCTGATAAGGCTACCTGTCCATATATATCCCCTCCTCCCAGTTGTACTGTGAATTGGAGAAGAATGAAAATATCCTGTACTGTTCATTCTTATCTTTTCCACACCTCAGCAAAACTGAGAAAAAAATCTTCATTCTCAAGTAGGTGACACCTGCCTGAAGACTGGGGATTGGGGAAAGCCTGGGGGGGGGGGGGGGGGTTTAT